TCCCTCCTTTTATTCCATATGGCCATTTGTAATCCAGAGAGTACACAGTTGCCTAATTCACTGAATTTCCAGGTGCTACAGACTCTTCTAGGTTGATGAAGGCCTCTTTCTCCCTCAAAACAAGAAGTTTGAAAATAAAAATGTAGTAAAATGCATCCCCTAGCACATTTGGCCATTTTAGGGGAAAGTTGGTTGGAGATCCTTAGAAACTCAAGGAAGGTCAGATAGGCTGGAAGACCTTGCAGGAGGGGGGCTTGGGTGAAATATGCAGCAGAGAGCCTTTGTCTACTTTCATTATAGGCCTTCCTTTGAAATACTTCAGAGACTTTTCACTTGAAGAGAATTTTCCTGATTTGCTTTGAATTTTGCTTTGAACAGTGTTTTAGAGTTACCAGACCAAAAAGCAGAAATAGCTCCTGTACTTGTAAAAGACAGAATTTCAGCAGGTGTTACTTGTCACACAACCAGGTAAAGAGCAATGCCTGCTGATATTACCTCTTCTACACAACCATTAAAGGCACAGGAGTCCCCTCTAGTTTTCAGTTTGGCAACCCTAGGCTTAAAAAGAAACATTGTGAGAAACTGAACTAGTCTCAACTTACCTTTTTTTTGGGTCTTCTTTTTGTTTCTGCTGAGGAGATGCATCTGACAATCTGCTTCATATGTAGATAAACATTCAGTGGCAATTCTAACAAGACTGTATTTTATCAAGGCAAGCGTAGCTGAACTAATGATGTTATCTCGGTTCCACTGTTGTTGTGCACCTTTCAGTTGTTTCCAACTTATGGAAACTCTAAGACAAATCTATTGTGGGGTTTTCTTGGCAAACTTTGTTGTTTTTGTTGTTTGGGTTTGCCTTTGCCTTTGCCTTCCTCTGAGGCTGAGAGACTGTGACTTGTTCAAGGTCATGCAGTGAGTATTCATGACCAAGCAGGGTTTTGAACCCTGGTCTCCAGAGTTTTAGTAGCCCAGTGCTTAAGCCACTACACCACACTGGCTCTCTTGGTGCCATAACTAGTGCCAACTCTTGACCTAATGATGAAAATTATTTGTAATGACTTTATTTTACCATCACAGTTTACCACATATAGCATAGGCTGATATTCCAAATGTCCATGTACCAATATAACCTTGGAACATTTAGTTATATGCATTTTTGTACTTTGTACTGTAGAAGGTAGAAGAATTATGACATGGCACATGCTCAGTAGTGTTTTCTTTGCTGCAGAAGGTGTTGGTGGAACCTCAAACCTGCTTCAAGAACCAGCCAGAGAGAGCATGCAATGGACATTTTCTTCTAGAAGAGCTGTTTTAATTCTGGAAGATCTCATAAGGGCTCAGGTAAGATAAAATCAGGAAGACTAAAAGGGGGCATAATACAATTTTTTTTGCCTGCTTGAATAGACACATAAGGTCAAAACGTATTCTAGAGGTTCTTCTAGAAGAACATGGATTGGCTTTGTTTCTGTAACTATGAGTTCTGGAAGAGATTTCCAGAGATTGATATTTGTTGTATTGGCCTGGCCTCCACTGAGGACAAGAAAACACAGTTGGTATGACTAGAATAAAAATTGTTTTACGATATTACATGCAGTTCTGGAGTCTTTATTGTAAAATAGCTGTTTCCTCATTCTCTTATGTAATTTATGGGTCTCATATGATGCTGGCTGTCTAGAACACCTCATATATTGTTAACAAATACAGATCCTGTCAATTTTTTTATATATATGGTGAGTTTGTTAATAGCTTTTTTAGTTCAATAAGAATTACTCTATGTCATTCATTTATACATAGTTGTCTTTTTTAAATGAAGCTTTACAGATGATGGGCCATGCCCCATAGAATTCACAATACATTCTAGTGTGTTTCTGTACAGAAGGAGGGAAATTTGTTTGTTTCATATTTCAAGACAAACTAGCCAAATTTGCACTTCCTGAGCCTACACATGGAACAGAACACAGCTTGATGTCAAGTCTTCCAGTTTTCTACAGTTTGTGATGCAGTTTGTAAAAGAAAGTACAACAATACATATAACTGAAAGTACTTTTTCTCAAATCTCTTATATAAAATAATATACAGTGTTCACAGATTTGGTACCCATGGATTCAGTCTCTAATATTCCATTCTTGGGTAAGGTTCTGGAGTGAGTGGTGGCCTCCCAGCTTCAGAGGTTTCTGGATGAAATGGATTATCTAGATCTATTTCAATCTGGCTTCAGACCTGTCTTCAGAGAGACAGCTTTGGTCACCTTGGTGGATGACTTCCACAGGGAACTGGACAGGGGAAGGTTGGTTCTCCTGCATCTCTCAGCACCTTTCGATATCATCAACCATGGTATCCTTCTGGGCCACCTCTCTGGGATGAGCCTTAGGGGCACTGTTATGTAGTGATTCTGATCTTTCTTGGAGGGACCAGAGGTGGTGTTGGGGGACTCCTGTTTGACCCCCTGGCCATTGACCTGTGGAGTCCCACAGGGGTCTATTCTGTCCTCTATGTTATTTAAGATTTACATGAAACCACTGGGAGAGGTCACCAGAGTTTTGGGGTGCAATGTCATCTGTATGCGGATGACAGCCAACTTTATTTCTCCTTCTCATCTGATTCCAAGGAAGCTGTCTATGTACAGAACCAGTGTCTGTGGTCAGTAATGGAATGGATGAAGGCAAACAAATTGAAGTTTAATCCAGACAATACAGAGGTGCTCCTGGTCAGTCATAAAGCAGGTCAGGGAATAGGGACCTTGCCTGTGCTACATGGGGTAACACTCCCCCTGAAATCTCAGGCTTGTAGCTTGGGTGTGCTCCTGGACTCAACTCTGAGCCTGGATGCTCAAGTCTCAGTAATGGCCACCAGTGCATTTGCACAGCTAAAACTAGTGTGCCAGCTGCACCCATTCCTTGATATGTCAGATTTGGCTATGGTGACACATGCCTTGATTACATTCCATTTGGACTACTGTAACACAGTCTGCATAGGGCTGCCTTTGGAAATGGTTTGGAAACTTCAGCGGTTGCAAAATGCTGCAGCAAGAATGCTGACTGGGGCAAGTTATAGACTCCCTTGCTGAAACAGCTTCACTGGCTACTGGTTCATTTCAGGGCACAATTCAAAGTGTTGGTCATGACCTAGAAAGCCCTACACAACTTAAAAAGGTAAAGGTAAAGGTATCCTCTGTTGACAAGGTTGTCAAGTCATGTCCAATCTTAGGGGGCAGTGCTCATCTCCATTACTAAACTGAAGAGCCAGCGTTGT